CAAACTTCACCAGTTGTTGCCCACTATGTGCTGTTTGCAAGCAGTGCCACATTCTAATTCATGGTTGGCCCTTCTTTCTCCAAGATTGATCTCGTGTTTGCAAGACTCTCTGTACAAACTCTGTCTGATAATCTTGATCTTGGAGATGACTCACGTCTGAGGAGTTTGGATATAAGATGCATACGGAGCTTAAATGGTAAGATGTTCATGCTGCTTTAAAAAAATATTGTGGAGGTTGATATAGGAATATGTAAAGAAACACTCATGACACAAAGTATGTGTGGAAGATGCAGAAACTGATCTTCTGTGTGCTTGACAGGTGGAGGTGGTGAAAGGACTTAAATTTAAAAGTTTTAAGGAATGTGATTGGGTAGACCTATATTTCCTGTTCATTTGATCAATCTGGGCATTGTTTTTTTAAAATGGAACTTGCTGCAGATCCTTTTTAGAGAAAGGACACTTAGAGAAGTGTGTATGTTTTTTTATATGGGAGGTTGCATTTAGAACACCTAATGCCAAATTACATACTGTTTAACACTACCTAATTGTCCCTAGCTATTGGAAAAAAAAATCTAGCTTTCAAAATCCATGTGCAAAAGGTCTTATTAAAAATGTTTGCTGGAGTTTAAACTACAGAAAAGATGGTCTATGCATAGGTTCAAGAAATGAAATACTAGATGTTAAGTATGATCAACTCATCCAAGCTTGTCCTTACAGCCTTTTGACAAACTTAATCATCAAAACCAGCATAGTAGGAAATTGAATTTGTACCTTCTTTTTTCCCTTGAAGGCTGCAGAGTTACTGATGAAATACTACATCTAGTGCCAAATAAAGAGAATTTTCGACTCACGCTCCGTGCAATTAAACTGTGGGCAAAACGTAAGTAATGTAATTATGATCTTTAAAATTTCAGAGAAAACCGATGTAGGAATCTTCCAGCATGAGATAAGAGTACATCAGCTTTGGATAGTTTAAATGTCAGTCTTGGTTATTTCAAATCTAACCTAAAAATATTAAAGGTCTATCTCTGTGTTAGATTATGTATTTTCCTTCTTTGAGTAGCTGGGGCGATGAATATAATGAAAGGCACTGTGCTGCTTATCAACAGTGTGACCACAAATAGTGAAAAAGATGATTAAGACATAAAAGTTTGGACATGTGACTAAAACAAGTGCTAGAAAAATGATTGAACTCTTAAAGGACGTAGATATCTATAACAATAAGTAAATTTCAGAGTAGTAATGCTTTAGGAAGTGGTGAAATTCTTTTTATTACAGTAAGAAGCAAGATTCCTATTTGTATCCCTCTGCAAACATACTTCAGCCTCAGTGAAGTTAAGTATACTAAGTAAACTACAGATTGTGAAATTGGTGCTGTAAATCTGAAGGGATATACTTATATATTGTAAGAATAAAGGCTAACTAAAGTATCCATTCTAGGACGTGGAATATACTCCAATATGCTGGGATTTCTTGGTGGAGTTTCCTGGGCTATGCTAGTAGCAAGAACATGTCAGCTCTATCCAAATGCTTTGGCTTCCACCCTTGTTAACAAGTTCTTCTTGGTTTTCTCAAAATGGTAAGAGATTGTCCCATGCTGGGAATCAAGTGTTGTAAAGCTGGTTATGGATTTAGCACTTGTATCTAAAATATCTTAATTATGTGCTTGAGCTTTAGATTGATAATTACTAGTTACTGATGGTTCTTATATAGGGAGTGGCCAAAACCTGTGTTGCTGAAACAACCTGAAGAGAGTGATCTTAACTTACCTGTATGGGACCCTAGGGTATGTAGGCACTTAATTCAAAAGCCTTTAGGTTGTCTTCTAGCCTAAATTTATGCTAAGCAGAAATGTTTTATTGCCATAGGTGAATCCAGCTGACCGGTATCATGTAATGCCTATAATCACACCAGCATATCCACAGCAGAACTCCACATATAATGTATCTACATCAACAAGAGCTGTAATGGTGGAGGAGTTCAAACATGGTAAAGATGTTAAGTTCTTACCATATTTAGTAATTGATTAGGAAAAGTATAATGCTTTACCATAGAACTGCTTGTGTCAAGGGAATTACTGATCTTTGATCTGTGTATTAGTGTTCAGACTTTGCCTTGTAAAGTTCATAACTCATGCTGATTTATTGGGTTTCTTTTTTGAAATACAGGTCTTGCAGTTACAAATGAGATCCTTCAAGGGAAATCAGACTGGCCAAAGCTCCTAGAGCCACCAAACTTCTTTCAGAAGTATAAGTATGTGTGAAAACTGCCTGAACTTGACATAATTTGTGTACTGGTTAGTGCAGGGGACTTAGATTTTTCAGTCTAAATACAGGATGATCCTAATGCTTGTTTCCTCAGAAAATGGAGGCAATCAGATGACTTTTGATAAGTGTGATTGCAAAAGTGCATGCAGAAACTGTTTATCTCATCCTGCTGACACCATTTTTATTTACAAAACCATGGAACTTTGACTGTGGTTTAAAGTGGTCCTAAAAGATATAATTAGTTTCTCTTCTGTGAATACTTCATGGAATACAGGATATAATTCTTTTTGTTTGGAAGTCATTCAACATATATGTATGGCAGTTGTTTTGGCTTCACTTAAATGAAGCCAGGATATTAATTATTTTCATTTTCCTTTAGACACTATATTGTACTGACTGCTAGTGCCTTTACAGAAGAGCATCACTTGGAGTGGTAAGACTCTTTAAATACATAACTGAAACACAGTTCAATGTTGTGCTATGTTTTGCCATAGTATTAAAGCGTACAACTTGACATCACATGGAGTATGAGTTAAAGAGTTCATCTGCTAAATCTTGTAACTAACACTAAACTTGTTTGAGGAATTAACCTAAAGACTGAGTCATGCTGAGAAGGGACAAAGAGGGCCTGTGTGTATTCTTCAAAGTCAGATCTCTGAATCATCTGGGGAAGCAGATGCAGGGAGTCTAGGGCAACTGTTTACCCCAACATGTGCAAGTTAAGTTTCTTGTTACAGATACTGAAGTGATCATGGAGTGCTTGATGTAGATTCAGCTCTCCAGTGGCCAGTATTTGCTGATCACATCTTCTAGATCTTCTTAAAATTACTGAATGTAGTAGTTAATTTACAGTTAACTGCACTCAACACTAAACTGCTCTGGATATGTAGTCAGGCGTGCTCTATTCCAGTGAGATGAAACAAGCCTATTTAATCTGAGTGAAACATGCTGACACTCAAGACAGAGCACGTGAATACTGATAAATCATACTCTCTGTATCTCTTGGGGTCAGTTCCCAAAATGTCAGCATTTCAGTGGGTTAAATTGCTGTGGGTTAGCAGATGGGTTAAATTGCAGAAGTGCTTGAAGAATCTCCAGGTTTTTAACTGGCTTCCAAGTTAGTGTAGTATTTAACTGCAGCAAATGGCAATCCTTTAAATGAGTATCGTAATCTCATCTTGGGCAAGTTTCTGATGAAGTTAAGGTGCCTAGATTGCCCCTTTTAATAAGGGAACAACACTTCCCTTTCAGGTTGGAAGGGAACTGCAGGAAGTCTGGAGGAAGAGTTGTATCTTCATCCAGGTGTAACTCAATAGCTGTCATCGTGTGTGGGTGGGTGGTGTGTGGTTTTTTTTTTTTTTTTAATGACCTACTCTTCCCCTTCCTCTGTGGAGTAGAAAAAGGAATTTTGCTCACTTGCAGACCCTAACATCTTTGGCTGAACTTGCTTCTTACGACTGCCTTTATCACAGCTTCAGTGTTGAAGGGCTCTATCTAAATTGGTAGCCAACTTGAACTCAGTCTTTTGAACTTTTAAAGCTTAAATATTACTTGGAATTTCCTTAAACTGCAGAACATAACATCTGCATAATGTGAAATCTAATATCTATTTAGCTGAATGAAACTTACTATTTAATGCTTGATTAGCATTTTTGATTAAGACTGCATAATGTAACACTGTGCTAGATATGGTTAAATTTTTTTTTACTAGGGTTGGCCTTGTTGAATCTAAAATTCGTGTGCTGGTTGGAAACTTGGAGAGGAATGAATTTATAAATATTGCACATGTAAATCCACAGTCTTTCCCTGGCAACAAAGAACACTGTAAACAGTGAGTTTCATTAATTTTCTTGAACAATTTGTCCAGTATGTTTTAACTTGTTAATATTCAGTCATCTTGGTCATCTGAGATGAATTAAGGGCATACTGTTTTGTCAATACAGAATCTCATAGACAAGGATCTGGACATGTAAGATTATATGTATAAACTCCACTTATTTTCAAATGAGAGTTTCAAAGTATGGCAGTCCTTATGTAAAGGCCTAAGCCTTAACTGCTGTGTGTCACTAAATCATGTAGGATGTTTTGCTTACTCCCTTCTTGAGACTAGATGCTAGTGTCCAAAGGGACCTGGCACCTGTGCAGAAGTGAGACTTGTGAATCTGTCTTTTTCAGGAGTGAATATGTGTCAATGTGGTTTCTTGGAATCATATTTAGGAAAGTGGAAAATGCAGAAAGTGTTAACATTGATTTAACATATGATATACAGTCATTCACAGATACAGGTAAGTCTATCTTACTGTGGTCTTAGGGGTTTAACATTTGATTCTAGTGAAATTTATTTTGTGAAACAAATTGTGCTTCCTCCGCCATGTCTTTTTTTAGACGAATGTATAGAACATTTAATTTTCTTATTTTGACGCTTTGGCAAAGTAAGCTCGGTAAGTAGTGTGCATCACAGTCATGGAAGTGTCTCTTCAACTGCTGCAAGTCAAATACACTAAAAATGTGGGAGAGCAAATTCAGTTGACACCAGGGCAGAATACCAGGGCAGAATGCTTAATCCAATCCTTTGGATTAAAACAACTCAGATATATGTAACTAGCTAATGGCTGTAACAGACCTTAAACTTGAACTAAAATAGCTATGATGTAGCTATTCTGATCTGGATGTGTGATGGGCATCTTGGCTGTCATTCATCTTGAAATAATATATGGAGTGCTTGGGTGGTATTTTATGCTCTACAGTGCTTGTAGTTTGGCTTTTTCATGGGCAGAACAAACTTAAAAGTTGCTGCTTCTGAAAAACCTATAAATAGCCTCAACATATCTGTAACACAAACATCCCTAAGAGGCGTAACACTAAATTTTGTTCAGTTTACAGGCAGGCTAGCAACCTCAACATGCTGAAAGAAGGTATGAAGATTGAGGCAGCTCATGTGAAGAGAAAGCAGCTCCACTATTTTTTGCCTGCAGAAATCTTACAGAAGAAAAAGAAGGTATAATAAAATTTTGGCTCTTTGGGAAACACTTTTTTTTTGCTTGCTTATTCTTTTAAGTTCTCATGTTCTGAACTGTTGTTTCAGCAAAGCATGCCAGATATTAGTCACAGTGCTAGTGGACTTCAGTCCACAAGGGCCTCTTCAGATGGAAGCTGTTTGGAGAGTTCCAGAGACGCGGACTCCAGAACACCATATAATTTCCCTTCGTTAAATAGGATATCTAAATTGGACACCTCTGCAGCAGAAATAGAAAGGTTAGCACCATCACCTTGGAGGGGTGAAGCAGCTACTGTTATCTGACTGTCAGTGCAAATGCGTTCCAGGATTCTTGTTTGAATCTGTAGATCACAAGCATATGGACTACTCCACGGCTTATAAACAAAGCTGAGCCCCGCTGAGCTGGGGGGAAGGTTAAGAAATCTTTCGCACTACTGTACAGAAACATGTAGGAATAAAGAAGAACGTGGTATTGGAGAAATCAGTTGGTCTTGAATATAAATCTACTTAGCCCAGCGTGTAACTTGAACCTGGAACACTTGACCAAGTAACTCTGTTCTTTCGAAGTCCACTTCAGCTAGGACTAACCTAGAAAGAAGTAGTGATCTTTAATCATATAATTGAACCACCAACTTACTACTGTTAATTTATGAAGGGGACAGCATAAGAACTTTGACAGTTACATTTGAGATGTCCCTTTGCCCACAAAGTACTTCTGCACAGAGGAATAAGGAATAATAGCCTAATATCAAATATATTGTGCTTACTGTATTGTGGCCCCGTTTAGTAATTAAGTACTATACAAATATACAGAACTTTGGGGGAGTGCATATATGGAGCAGATGAGTGTAAAAGTATGGAGTCCTGTATATTTTAGTCTGGAAAACAAAACTAGAACATGAGTACTCAGGTTCACTGCATAAAGAAAATGTTGAAATTTGTGGTATGAAGTTCAGCAAAATGAAGATCTTGTGCTAAATTATTTGCTAGTTTGTCTTTGCTCAGCAGAACTGTGATAAGGAGAATCAGAGTCGTTATGGTTGGAAAAGACCTTCAAGATCAAGTCCAACCATAAACCCATTGCCACTCTGCCTGCTAGACCATGAAGCTAAGAAAGTAGTTGTCTGTTTTGCTCAAACTCCTGAAACTATGTACAGTATTTTGATTACTATTTTGTAATTCAAGCATTCAAAAACTTCATTTTTACAGAAATGCTGGAATTCAAAGAGCCTCTGGGGCTAGCAGTAGGGAGAAGATGCTTAACGTAGCCGTCCCATCAGTGTCTAAGGGACTGTCTATTCCAGTAATTGGTTCAAGTATGTATTAAAGTGGTGGTGGTGGGGAAATGCAGTCTTTAATATCATGGTTGGACTCTAAAAGCTGAGTGTCTCCTGCAGAAATGGAGGCTAGGGTTACCATAAGAACATCAGGACCTCCTTGCATCGGTTGCACCATTCCTACAGTAGTAGGACACGGCACAATTTCTCGGCTTAGAACACATCTTGCCCAAGGACAAGAGCTACAGGGGACTCCAGCTGCAATTTCTAAAAATGCTGCACCTAAACGACCTCACTCGCCTGCCTCAGAAGAATGCCCTAAAAGACTGAAAGACAAAGAAAAGGTAAAAGCTTGTGGATAGCAAGCTTGGGGTGGCATGAAATAGTGCTAGGTGCTGTTGCAAAATAAGTAGTGTTGCTGAAGGTTGAATTGAAGCCTAGTGGTAGCTTTACTAGGCTGTAGGTATGCAAAATTGTCTTGAACCTAATGCGTACCAATACATCTTGAGACATGATACCAGTCTTGGCTTTAGGGGTACAGTTACTGTTTTTATTTTACACTGTACTGCGGTTGCTTCTTAATGGCTAAGTTTATTTAGCAACTCTTAAAGCAATCCAGAAAACACTTTTCAATTGCCTTACTGAAAAGGATATGAGTCTTATAGATTTACAGGTAAGAGTTTATCTGTTCTAGCAGATAAACTGAAAGGCTGTGCAATTTTTAAGAAATCTATTTAACAGGCTATCCAGTACTGAAAAGACAAGATGTGAAATTGCTTCTTAAATTTTGTTTTTGTGGAAGCTTTAGATTAATGCCTGAGTTATTTTAATCTTATATGCAGAAAATAACTGTTCTTGTGCATTTGACTTCCTCCTTGAGGCAGAGTTGAAGAATAAGAAAAAGCTCATGTTTGGGCTTATAAGAATCTTATAAGGAATTTGAGCCTTTGGAACCATCAAGACTGAGACCTGAGATTCCTGTGCAGTGCTAGTATTTGTTTAAATGTCACCTTAAGAATTTGTTACAGCTTCCAATCAACATATTAGAAGCATTACCTAAATATGAAACCAACTTCATTGTAGCAATTATTTTAAGTCTGTGTATTCTTTTCTAGTTAATTGTCCAAGTTCCAGCATTCAAAGATGGTGGCAATCCAGGAGACGTAAAGAGAAAATCTACAGAAAATGTAATTTTGAGGTTTTTTTACTCAGTGTCATAACTGAAAATCTGAACACTCTAGTGCCCAGACTACCTCACATAAGTAGTGCATTTGCTGATGTTAAAGCTTTCTAGTGTAGCATATCTCAGTCTTTCCTTCAAATATTACACCCATGTGCAAGATTACCTTACTGTTACTTACCTGTGCAATGGTACTACTAGATAATGTGGTAGTATAAACACTTGAGCGTTGACCCCTCAAAGGGAGCATAAATAGCTACTTAGTGTAGCTTGCTATTGAGGTGTAATCTCTTGAGGGCATGTGCTCAAATATGGCCCTATTAGCAGCGCCCTCATTTGAAAGCTCTGGAATCTTTTATGCATGTTTATGGGCTGTCAAAAACCTTAGTATTTTCCATGGTCTTAAAAGAGGTTGAGGGTATCCATATATATATGTATTCGTGTCTTTTTATACCATGAATTTGATTATACCTTTTAATATCATCTCTGTTTGTTTTTTAGGATGGCCTTGAAAGAAAATCGATGCCTGTTCCAGTTATTGACACATCAAGGTCACAGGTATTTTATCTGTTGTGCCATTATGTTCCCAGGTAAATCAAAACTAGAATTTCCATTGCATGTATAAAGACTATTTTGTACTAATTACTACAAGCTTGATTCTTCTAGGTAGCTGGTAAGCTTTGCCTATTGTAATTCCAGCAAATTGAATGGCTACATTCTAGCACAGTGACTTTTCCAGGTTGAGTTGTAAAACTTAAGCCACAGATTGAAAGCTAGTGCACTGCAAGAAGCATGCATACATATACTTGAGCCCTGTCCCAGTTTGTTTCCCAATTTGCTTTTTTTCCTCCTGAAGAGGAAATATATATCTGTATATTCCTTGCCGATTTTTTGAAAAGTGCTCTGAGCTATCCTTATCTTAAATATTTATATGCCAGTTTGTGACAAGACTTGGAAGCTCTGAGGAGTATAAGTGGCTTTCTCTCTTCTGGGAGATATAAAATTTTGTGAGTTTGAGAGTTTATAAGACTGGAAGTAAACTGTGATGGAAAATGCCAGGAATATAGGGTATCGCTACTAGCCGGACGAATGCTAGTTTTTTCTATTATGCTGTTAAACAACTTATTTCCTGACATGATTTGAAGCAATTAATTTCTGAGAGAATAAAATGTGCAGAGGGGAAATGCTTTATCTCTGTAAAATGTGGTAAGCAAACAAGTATGAAAACAACCTTCTCTGTAAACACTTGATTTTGGTAGATGAAGTAGATCTACCAAAATTTGTAGATAGAGTGCTATTCTATAGGTTTAGTTAGAAAAGGATTTATCTGCTATGATTTTTTTTTTCAATTAATGCATTTACAACTGCCTTTTCTATGTGGCATCTTTGTGTTGCAGAGGCTTTCCAGTAAAGAGTTACCAGATTCCTCGTCACCTGTTCCAACAAATAATATTCGTATTATTAAAAGATCCATCCGACTGACCCTTAACCGGTAACTAAAGTGTCTCTTCAGGTAAAGATAATGGGCATTTTAGTTGTTCATAATGTCATTGTCATGCAGTTATTGTCCAACAAAGTATGGAGGGTTGCTGTTACCATATGGGAAGTTATTTACATATAATCTGGGTAGTTCAACATTCTTTACATTTTGACCTGCAGATGCTGTAGCTTTTCCAAGACTGCCTGCTGACAAGCCACTATCTACAAACTCATGGTGTTCAGTTTTTCAGTATTGTTAGCTGATGCTTGCTTCCTTTGGAACTATTTTCTGCATACCCTCTCTACAGCTGTCCTTATTAGTCTTTTCAGACTTAACAGCCACTACTGAAAAAGCCTGTGTTTGAAAAAAGTCCAAAAAAGCAACCTGTACTGTAACTTGGATTCAGAATGCATGGAAATGGGGTTTTAGTCACTGGAACCACATCCTGGTTTGAAGTATGTATGAATGTGTTTGCATTTGCTTATACTTTCCTAGCTAGTGTAGATATATTGTGATCTTAAATTTGATTGTTTGGCACATACACTCCTGTGCATCTCACAATGGTGCTCAGCTGCTACAGGCAGTAGCTTTCCACTGTCTAGCACAGCCATGTACTGCACAAGTGATAAGTATTGCCTCCCATGGAGGCCCATAAATAATCTAAATATTAAAAAAAAAAAGGCAACAGAGGATGCTACCAAGGTATAGAGATGGTGGAAATGTCTCAGGCCGTGTTATTTCTTTTTGTCTTTGGACTGCTCCAAACAGACTTGATATGTTTTCTTCTGTTTTCACTGGGTAGCAAAGCTAAACACACAACTAAGGTATGCTTAAATGTTGTACCAGGTGAGGCTGTCATGACACTACCTCCTGCAAGCCAGTCCAGAAAGCAGTTGGCGTGCAGAAGGTGGTATTGGGGTTTCACTGAAACCCTTGAGATTGTTCTAAATGATTATATGAAAACTTGTAGTCTAAAATCAAGTCATGTAAACAGGCTGATAAAAACAAGCTGCTTACCCAGTTGAGTTCATCAGGGTCTTGGGGGCTGGGAAGAAGTTCTGATCATATGAAACAAATGCTGTGCATCTTCCTATTGTATTTTCTTTAATTTGTTTTTTGTAAATGAAGCTGTATGTTTGTGTTCCAGAGTATTTTTGTATGTACTATAAAATACTGTCTTTCAAAGAGAAACTCAATCTTTAGTCTTTCCTTGGCATTTTTTTTCTGTAGGTTAGATGTGCTTAAAATTAAGCTCTAACCCTGTTTTAGGGGGTGGTGAGGAAGAAATCTACCTAATGATGATAACATGCTACAATCAACTTGATGTAAGGAGCCTGGAAACACTCTTTTCCTGTTCCTGGTATTTCCAAGCTTTGTATTAAATTCTGAATTTAAGCATTTTGTAAACTGTACATGGCTGAAGTCCCAATTTGCTATTTTGGGAATTGATGCTTCTGGAACTTAGAAAAGTAGTTGTTCAACTTAGTTGGAACTCAGAATTGTTGTTCATCTTAAGCATCCACTGGACTCTTCATAATTACAAGATCTAAGGGCTGTAAAGGAAAAGGTAGGTATCCTGTAAAGTCTCCCTTCTGTAATGTTTTCCTATTACTAGTATTTCAGACTTGGGGAGAAAGCATGATTGCTTGGCATAGTATCCTTGCTTTATTCTTATTACCTCTGGCTCCTATTTAGCTTCAAGGGAAAGGTAGCTTTTATATAAGCCTTCTAAGCAAAGTAGTGGCACTCTGCAGATGTTTTGAAAGCTTTCTAACCCAAAATTGGGTTTAGTTGGTTTGAGAGGTCCTATTTTTGCCTCTTCTGCATTCTTCTCCTTAAAAAGAGACTCTTAGTCTTAGTTCAATCACACAACTCATGTAAGTGACTTAACCAGAACTACATCTTGAGTTTATAAAAATAGTTTCTCTAGCTTTCTGACCCTGTTTAAACTCCTGCTCTTAGTAAAACTGAATGGATATTTCATTCTGACCCTGTTTAAACTCCTGCTCTTTGAAATATCCATTCAGTTTTACTGAGAGCATGCATGCAACTTCAGTGCCTGTGTAGCAAAGAAAGATACTTTGTAAATTTGAAGGAACTAAACCTGTGCTGGGTGATAAGGTAAACAGTAAATATGAAAACTGTTTTGTAGTAGTCTACAAACCTGTGAGATTAATATGCTTTTTAAATGCTTCCCCTTGAGTCTTCTGACTTACTACAAGCATCCTTCAGCAAAGTTTCTTGGCATTTTCATCCAAATAGTCTTTGGCTGTTTTCCAGGTATATGCGTGCTAATAGAGCAATTGTGTGACTGACCAATGTCCAAAACTAACCTAGCTAACCCACCTTCACATAAATGGGGCTTAACTCTTGCATTGCAATTGCCCTTCCAATCACCTTTCTTTAAGTATTCCTTTGCTGTTAAGGTTTGAGGAGGAATTGTGCACATACCTGTCTTAGTGCTTGGGGCAGCTGTGTGACCTCATCACCCTGGGCTTTCCCCACACACCACAGCAGTGTGGTACTGTCCCAGGGCCATGTAGTAATGTGGTATTCTGAGTGCTTCCCTCTGCTTTTGATGGGTTAATGGCTCATTCTGCTTTTCTGACTGAAGTTCTGATTGTAACAACTCAGTTTAAAGTTTTTCTTGGTTTATGGACCCAGTTCTCTATTAGAATGAGCAAAGGTGAAGTTACTTGTATAAAAGCCTCAAGGTTCTTGTACCTCAAAACTCCTGCCAATATTGCTGTCTACTTTGAGCTAGTTGTTATACTTGTGGTTTGGAGAAGGAAGGGCTGAGGGACATATGATGCTTTAAGGACAACATCTAGTTAAATAGTGTATGACTAACTTGGGCAAGAAATTCCATCATGTGATTTAATGCTTTCTGTAGTTCTGTTAGGTGTTAGTGAAGAAAAACTAATGTGATGTCACCTATGCTTATGGAGTAACAGAACACTCAACTTCTGCTATAATGAGTAAAAAGCAAAGAAGGGTATTTTGAAACTGTTATGCTTGGCTTTTTGGTGGTGTTAGTGCTGCCTTTAAAAAACACTCCTGTGATGTAAGCTCAGTAGCCCCCAAACAGCCCAAAGTGTGTATTACCTCATCTGTTGCCCTTATAAAGGGCCTGGACCTGTGTGTTAACAGTAACTGATAGGCTGTGGTTGTAGTGCTCTGGGTGGGGGAGGGATCCCTGACCTGCTGCTGCCTCTGCTGGGAGGGAGGCACTCTACCCCAGCCTGAGCACAAATGGTACCACAGGCGCAGGTGCCTCAGCTCCTGTGAGAGCAGCCTCCTTCCTTCCTCTCCCACAGTCCCTATGTGCTGCTTCCCTAGGGGAAGGCAAAGGCAACTGCCTGTTCCTCCCTGCCTGCTGCGGCCAGGCCTTCCTGAGCGGGGGCGGCCAGCGCAGAGAGCTACGTGTGTGGTGACGGCAGCGACAGCCCTGCCACTGCTGCGCTCTGGGGGCAGCCGGGAAACCCGCTGTGCTGCTGGGCCTGCCTGACACCCCTGCCTGCTGGCCTATGCTGCTGCGGTGGCCCCCACTTTTCTGGCTAGTCTGCTGCTTTGTCTTTCCTTAAATCCCACTGAGCTGAATGTGGCAGGATGTTTTCCAGGCCAGGGCAAGCCCTGGGAGCTGGAGCTGAGGGGGAGCAGGAGGCTGGGAGTGCTGCTGGCCGCCTCCTGCTTGGTGGGCAGCAGCCCAAGCCCAGCAGGACTGGAGCTGCCTTGGTCCTCGCCTCCCTCCTTGTCTGTGTGCTGAACTGTGAGTGTGGCCCAAGGGGTCCAGCAGCTTGGGATAGGCCTGAGCCCATGTGCTCCAGGCTATAGCCCCCTTTCTCTTGATACTCCTGCATCTTCCTTGCTCACCCCAATCTGTCTCTTGTTCCTCAGTTTGAACTGGGTGGTGTATTTTATCCTGTGCTAAGGGAATGAGAGTAGTGGGAGTCTTGAAAGGAGAGGAGAAATAGCCTTGATTTTTCGCTCTAGTGAGTGGCAGCATGGCAGTCACCAGCACCAGCTGCAGGGACCATCAAGTTCAGTCCCTTTGCAGGGGCGAGAAAATGGATGGAGGCTTTAGCTGTTACCAGGCTGGCAAGCATGCTTAAGCCCAAACTTTTCAAAGGTTCCACATATGCCCAAATGTGTGGTTTTTCAAAGGAACAGCAAAAAGTCCTCTAGTGATACCAGCAGAGTCTCTATGCCCAACTTCATGTCCCTCTTTCTGAAATCCGAAGAACTTCTTAATAAATGAGTTTCAAGAGTTATTTGAAAGTAAGTAAAGCTGCATGTTTTCCCTGTGCTTCTTTCTTAGAAATGATTAAGTCATTTTCATTCTTTCCTTAAAAAAAAAAAAAAAAATCAGCTGGAGGCAATGTATGTAATCTTATCCAAAGACAAGTTTTGGCAAGCTTTAGGAGTAACTGAGAATAGGGCCTTAAAATAGGAAGTGTTGGCTAGCACACTCTAGCAAAGTGGTAATACTACAAGAGTTGTATTTAATGTTATAGTAAGTAGGCTCTGAAGCTGGAAAATGCTAGAGATTTGTCCCTGCACTGTTAATTCTGTCCCTCTTCTGTCTTGCTGTATGGCAAGAACTAAACAGACTTTGTGAATGTACCTTAACTTATAAATACTTCATTGTGTGACTTAACAATGCTTCAGCGCATTTTTCTTGGGGTTTTTTTTTTTTTCCAGCTACTTGTTCATTGCAGAACTTCATTACGTGCCTCTTCCACTGCTGAGCAGAAGAGCATGCACTCAATATTGTGATCACTACCACAAAGACCGCTAGTAACTGATTAAGGAAGTAACTGCTTCAGTTAAGCACATTCTGCTTTCTTATGCCTGGCAAGCAACAGAACATCATGAATCCAAAAGTCGATTCTATTTGAAATCATATGTAAAAACTATGAAATCTTCCAGCATTTATTGCAAGATCTGTAGCTGGCTGTTATGGGATGGGGGTAGGGAAGAGATTTTAGTTGTTTTTGTCTGGGTGATAGTGTGCATGTGAATTTTTC